AAAACCAGATATAAAGTGTTTCAATATATTCTTTTCTATTTCAAGAAAACTTAGAAACAGTAATGCATTTTTGCAAGGATATTAAAAGTTTGTGAAATGTTCTGGGGATGATAAATTAAATTGTCTGTATGATTTAGCAAATGCGTAAATAACAATTTTATGTTAATAACTGTGTTAATAATTGTGTTCACATATTGACTGCAGTTTCAGTTATTACTTTCATTTAAGTTATAAAATACATTTTTAGAAGTTTTTTCTGATGAACTTTGCAGTAAAAAAATAATTTTGTTCTAAAAGTACAATAAATATACATTCAGGTTAAATGTATATTTATTGTGTTTGCGAATATGTTTTTTTAAATGCTGCCATTTCTCTCCAGCAGATATTGTAAATGTAAGTTCGCTTTTAATGTAAGCAATATTGGCTTTATAATTCTTTTAATATCTCACAATTTTTTTTTCGAGTATGAACTGAAAGAACTGCCTTTATTTTTTTTACATACTTTATTCAAACTGTTCGTGAAAGTATTTATTTCTTGGGAATTTTATGCATTTTGGTTTCAGTGCAAATAATTGTGTTTACATATTGTCTGCAGTTGTTACTTTCATTTGAGTTATAAGACTATTTTACTAGATTTTTTTGACGACTTTGCAGTAACAAATAGTTTTGTTCTAAGGGTTCAGTAAATATACATTTAGATTAAATGTTTTTAATTTGATTTTGTAAATATGTTTTGAAATGCTGTCATTTCTATCGAATGAGTAGTATAAATATAATAATATAATGAGTATATTACCTCTATTACAAAAACCTTAACCAAAAAATTAAGATGAGATGAGTATTTGCTTAATAATCATATTTTTTGATGAGTTATTCAATTCATGATAAAAAATTATTAAAAGAAGTAAATTTTCGAACTTAATTTTGAAGATTTTTTTTAATAAATTTATCATTTTAAAATAAAAATATTAGGAAATCAAGAAGAACCTCTCAATATCAGCATTTTTTTTTTTTTTTTAATACAGAAAATTTTAAAAATAAATTCTCGTTCCCCCAAAATTTTTCGTCACGCTACACCTATGTATATCACTCCAGGATTATACCCGCTGTGATATACAGGTCATGGATTACAGTTCAATAGCCACCTGGTTGGTTTCGATCCAAGAACCCTGTACAAGAGCGAACGTGTTTCGAAACTTGAATGCGAAATTCATTCGTCTTCTGTGTCAGATTCAAACTGTACAAGCTTACAAAATCAGCCTCACATCTGATGAACGGATAAGCTGCTCTCCGACAAAGATAAAATAAAATGTTTTAGTTTGATTACGTTTTCAAAAGAATCTCTTAAAGCGTTGTTTATTTTTCATTGTACTATCATGGGAAAATAAATGAAAAATCAAAGGTAAGCTTCCAACAAAAAATTCCCAATGTTTTTTTCAGTGCAAATGAACTCATTTTCACGCCAAGAAATGCTCTCCTAAACGTCGCCAGGCGAATTCCGGAGAACAGATTACGTCATAACTCTTTCCTTCTCGTCATTCCTTGGCATCAGGAACGGTCCGGGTAGACTCCGGAAAATTTTCTTCGAATCTTCCTCACCAGAATACACCCCTGACGATTGAAGTGGTGGTAGGTTGAAGTTCCCTCATCTAGCGCCGCATAGCGATTGCATCCCAAAATTTGGCGCCGCCAGTGTTCTACAAGCAGCAAGATCGATCCGACTGCAGCAGAGATTCGAAGCACCTGGTGAAGAAGGACGCTCAGGGCCGGATACTTTTTCCCCCATGGCGAACAAATGACACAGATACCTGATTGCCGGATATGCGGCACATGCTGTGAGGTGAGTACAACAGGACGCGATCCTTAGTTAATTAATTCCACATCTTCTACAAAATGAAATGATTATTTTGTCACCGATTATTGTTGTTTTTGTGGTTATCATTCGAAAAGATCAATATAAAAGGAAGTACTGACAAGAAGACAACAGAAAAATTGTAAGATAAGAATTATGATAGCTTTGGCAGGAGATTAAAAACGGATTAATCCGAGCTGGATAAAGGAATTTTGATACGAAATGACATTTTGTGTTGAATGATAAAAGAGGTGATTACATTTGTTTATTTACGAATTGATACAATCAAAACAAATTTATTTTTCAATGATTTACTTAAGATTTAGATGGCTTAATTATTGCGGTATTCAATTTTATATCATTTAGAATATTTACAAACGAAATCTAAGATGGTTTATTTAATAAGAAGTTGTTTTGTTGACTTATAAAAAACTATGTAAACCCAACCAGTGATTTGACGTAATTATAAAATTGTAAACAAGTAATTTAATTACTGTAATAATGTAAAAAGTATTTTTATAATATTAGAATAATTCCTTAATTTAAACTAGATGATTGTAAAATATAAGAGAAACATGCCGAAAGGAAGTTATGGGCCAACACACAAATAGAATGTTTGAGAAAATTAAGAATTTCTATTCCCTACAGCCCGCCTTTAAAAACTGTTTCAAAATGTATTGGAAAAGAATATAATATAAACTAGCGTTTCATTTATAACTTTCAGTAAAAATGTATATATGTTACCGTTAAAGTATATAATGCAGTTATTTTATAGAATACCTAGTTATTCCATGAAATAACTGATCGTGTCCGTTAAAGTGTGTAATATGTTATTAATTTGACACTTNTTAACTATTAACTAGTTATTCTATGAAATAACTAGGTATTCTATAAATTAACTAATGAGAGACAGTTAAAGTGTAAAATAAACAATTTATAAAAATGAAATAACTAGGTATTCTATAAATAAACTAATGATAGACAATTAAAATGAAAAAGAAGCAATTTATCTCATTTATGCAGTGTATAAATGGTATTTATTGAAACGTACCAGAAAATCATTTGTTACAAGAAGGATTACTAAAATGACACTTGGAAATACAAAAAACATTATTTCTAAAACAAAAACATTTTTTTGAATAGTTCATAAATGCAGTAGGGGTGGAAGGTAAATGTATATGTCGTGCGAGATATATAATTATGATATAGTTTATTTTACACTTTAACGGGCTGCAGATCGTTATTCTATGAAATAACTAGTTAAACCGTGAAATACAAGAGAGTTTTACACTTTAACGGACACGATCAGTTATTTCATGGAATAACTAGGTATTCTATAAAATAACTGCATTATACACTTTAACGGTAACATATATATGTATACATTTGACTGCACAAATATGCATTACTGAATACATAATACATTTTACTGAATCTATACACAAACACACAAACTTATATGATTATAATGCAAGCTTATTATTTGACGAAAAGGCGAAATATTTTAAACATGCAATTTTATTAAAAAACATTGTAAAATATATTTATTATGTTACATAAATATAAAATACATTAATGAGAATTTATATTACTAATTGTGAAATTACATGTTTCTTAAATACATACAAAACCGGACCATAAGAAATTATAAGCTAAAAACCAGATATAAAGTGTATTAAAATTAAAATTTAAAATTTGTACACCATAATTTGTTATTAACTTAGAAATAATATTCTAAAGAACTGAGATTTCATTGATGACTCTCAGTAATCAGCAGCTAAAAAAACATGTCATTTTCAGTATCATTTATAAGAGAGTTTTTAAAAAAAAAAACAAATAAAATAATTTGAATTTTTTCATTCAATTTTTGTGTATGTCATACAAAAAAAAAATATTTGCAGCGTCTTGGAAAATTTATAAAAATTGGTACTCCAGTTTTTAAAAGCATGTAACTC